CGCTGCTAATAAACGTTTTCACCTAGAACAATGACGTTTCATGGAATTTAAATTTTTACCCAAATTCGACATACATACACAATCATTCATGGAAGATTGTAAGAAACAACGCAAATGCTAGCTTTTAATGAACAATGCTAAACAGCGTCTCTTCACGACTTACTCAACATTTCAGCTTTAGGACATGATTGGTTAGCCCAGTGTACAATCTTTTAGGGTTAAGCCAATCAAGGTTGACAGTCTTCTTCTATCTTTTCGAAACTGAAGTTTTTCAGTAATCCAATGTGTTTTACGTTTCGCTCCTGTCTCGTTTATGATGGCCTTGTCTTTGTTTTCGCTGTAGTGGACATCGTTTGGGTGCTTTGGCTTGTTAATGGCGGATGGCTATAGTTGCAGTTTTTCATATTCGTGATAGATCAAGGCGGTGTTTTGCTGTTTTGTGGTGTTGTGTTTCCTTCTGTATTTGTTACTAATCAATTCTTCATGGAGATCAATTCGTACTACTCAAGAATTTCTGGAAAAGCCCAAAATCCAGGTTCTATCTATTACCAGCTGAGAATCGATTTTTTAATCTTGAATATTTCTACTTGAAATGGTCAGATCTTCAAGGCTTGAGGAGATAGGGCAGAAAATGCCTAGTTAAACTGATGCCCTTGCTTGAATCGCTGTTAGCCATGAACGATGGCAATCCCTAGTGCTATTCACCTGGCATCTCAGCTACCAATATGCAACCTCATCAGTTTACTAGCAGTGGGTTGTATCTTTTTCGTTTGCGATAGGTACACTACCCTGTACAAGGGGTACTTCTGCTCATACTTTATTGAAATACGGTTCTTCTTCTTGTTCTTCAAAAGAATGGGACGATTGACTTATATCAACATCACTTAATGGTTTGAATGGTACACCTTGAAGATAGTGATAAAGATCTCAAATTTGAAAATTTTCATTTGAAGATATATCGCCACGGCAAAAGGCTAAGCCCGATGCGAGGCTCGAACCCGCGACAGCCAGATTAAGAGTCTGGTGCTCTACCGACTGAGCTAACCGGGCCACGATGAGTTACTTTTAACATAAAATGGAACAAGACGATTCACATCCATCCACTTCCTCCACTAGCTCCCTTCAAGAACGCTTTCGGTATCACTTTTGAGCATACACAGTCAATTGTTTCTATTAGCTTCTGCGCAGAACTATTTTGGAACAAAGCTAACCACCCACACAAAGTTTGACGTGTCGATCTTTGACGTCGATTTAAAATAATTTTAGAATCTTTGCAAATTTCTGCAACTCTAAAGATCTTCATTGCAATAAACATGTCAATACATGTCTATGACGTGCATAACAGGTTTGGCGTTTTCTCCGCATTTCAACGTGCAAAATGGAATCGCGGCCACGTGCCAAATTGCCTAAACATGTTACAATATGAAAGCACAGCTGCAAAGACAAGTCGCAAATCTGCAGACCTGTTGTCCACACATTCCGGTCTCCGTTAGATTATTTCTTTGGTGTGTAACAATAAATCATTTTCTCAACAACAATCAACTCTTCAAATTGTTCTTCACTGGCGATCACGAATATATACACTGGACGAACAATGAATGCATTTTCTTTATTTGCTTCTTTCTACGAAATCGAAAACGTGAAAAGACTAACGATTAATAGCCAACCAGTAGTGGCTCTTCCTTCGTTGAACAAAAATCAATGGAAAGAACTCTCTGCCAGCCTGCTGTGCCAGTGAACAATACCACATAGACAAAATCGTGGAAAAAATTTTGATCCCATACCGTGCTACCGTATTCCTATGCGACTTACGTAATAAGGAGTTTCTAGCTCAAAAATCTGTGTTATCGACCTGAATTAAGGCAATGTATTGGACCTTCCACTAGTCAGATTCGGGAAAGCATGACTTACGATAACCGCTTAATCTGAGGATGTATGGAGTTTGTACGTTACGATTACAGTGAGAAATGATTTACATATTTCAAGCATGTGATATCTAATAGCGAGGATCGTCTACTTCAAACTAGTGGTCACTCGCCTCAGGCGACTTTGGCCGTCTTTCAAGCCTAAAGAGATGTTGTTCTATATTAGTTTCTTACACTAATCGTAGTCAGTAGGCTTTTGATCCTAATTTCGTAAACGTGACTATAACATAGCTGATTATCTGGCATCTCTCAGAACTTATTGGAAAATAGCTGGCTTTTCCGGTCCAGCCCGGGCCGTTGTTCACTGAGGATAGATGAATGCTGTTTTGGTCCCAGCATAATACTGGAGACCCCCTCCCCCACTTCCTTATGGAGGACGTACCTTGGAACATCTCCACATAACTTCACCGCATCTTCGCGATCCTGAGTCCAAAATGAGCTCCCCGGGTGTATGTCAAGAGGCGCGATTTTTATTGCCAGATGGACACCAAATAGCACATAATAAGAGGTTTGTAACATTCTAAAAGTATTTGAAATTCAGGTGAAGATATATTAGATAGTTGCAAGAGTTGCTTAATCTTGGTGCTTTGGTATCAATTCAAAACAGCAATTTTGAAGATCAAAAACTCATAAAAATGCAGTTAAGAACAAATTCGTAAATATTTCGGTCCGTTTTTCAGCAAAAGCCACCAAACTCAGCAAGTGGTAACCTCAGACAGATAGTAAGCCAACGCACTTCATCTGGTACTTTTTGATGACTCGCAAAACGCTAAACTGCAGTTTCAATTTGCTGACAGCTGGAGAAATCGCGCCTCTTCCGTCTCCCGAGCTTTCCCACCCCCCCCCCCATTAATATGATCATGGGAAAATGCGTTGAGAACATGATAAGCCTTCATGTCTATAAATACGTGAAGAAATCAAATGATCAATACAATGGCCCGACGAATCGCCGCGAAAAGTAGCGCTAAACAGCCTCTGGGGTCGAAGACATATGTGTTCGAAATTTCAGCTCAATTGGTTCATTGGCGGGCGTTTCTATAACGAACGAACAACTAAACGAAACACTTACAAAGTTTGAGGTTTTATAAATATATGCTGTTAGCCCCGGTCTCACCCGGGCTCCAAATTAGTTTAGCTAACAGAACGTGTGAACTTACGCTTCTGGACTTCTTCAAACATCTGCAAAAACGCTGTAAGACGAATTGCATCCTCCGACTTTGAGAATGAAATTGATTATGGAAAAATGGTCGGTTGGAGCATGAAAAGTTTTCATTTTCCTAAATATGAGTGAACAAATCAATGAATCTTGGAAGGGCCCAGTGAATCGCCCGAAAAGTAGCCCTAAACCACCGCCGGGGTCAAAAACATGTATGCGAAATTTCAGCTCAATCGGTTCAACGACTGGCGTTTCCATAACGAACGAGCAATCTAACGAACATCTTCACAGACTTTGAGTTTTCCATATATAGATGTATAGATAAAAAGGAAACGCAGTGTTGATAATGTGAGAGCAAAAAAAAGAATAAACTTCACACTTACTCTGCCCATAACTGGTAAAGGCTTTGCTAAGATCAAAACATCAAGTAATTCCGGAAGTAAATGACCCAACAACTTTCCGCAGAATCAAGTGATCTAGTAATAAGAGAATCAATTTCGTACGTCAAGAATACTAACGAAATTACCTTTGTCTGGACCGTTGGTGATTGGAGAGCAAATGTCTACCATTTCTATAAGGGTCTCAGTCGCAAGATATACGATCAAGTATCACACGAAAACTTAGCAAAGATATTTTCCATTTGTTTGACATGAGACAGTTGCACCAAGTGGTAAAACTATGACTGCTCAGAAGTGGTCCATTTTTTCGCACTTTAACAAAGCGCTAAGAATGTGATAAGACTATTTTGCATTACAAAAGCCAAACACAAGAAAAGAATGAGAAAGACGAAGTCAGTGACAAAAGCTGTATGCCTTGCCTGAAACTCCGTTGATGAAAACATCATAATTTCGAATAAGAATATCGTTATTCGACTATACAGCTTGATTCTATTTTTGAAGGAATCCTCGCTCATCGAAAAACAATCAGAAAATTCTGGACTAGATATTAGTGGCTATTGTTATGATGGCAAAAATTGCTCTTCGAAACTAATTAGTTAAGCAGCATTATGTCATAGCCAATCCAAAAATGACACCACCATAAAAAATGCGATTTTTTGATAGATGAACCCGTGACGTGGATTTTATAGTAGTCTGTTAGCCTACGCCTACGCAAAAATTGGCCACTATACCAAAAGAAGGCTGGGTGATTTGGACAAATGTTGTATGATCAAAGCACTTATCTTCGATAGAAAGTTCAATATCGATGCCATAAGAAAATCAGCTAAAATCCACCTCATAATTTCACTTCCAGCACTCATAAGCTGGAGACTATGCAAAATCTTGAACTTATTGTGCACTACCTTTACCTGCTGAAATTCTCAAAACAAGCTGACGTGACCTTAAAAATTTATTATGCATTTGGTTTACGTAAATGATTGTTTGTCTGCACATAGTCAATTTCGAACCTGTTATGACCACATGCTGACCAAAAATAGCCTTTTTAGGCAGTTCCGAAAATCCTCATTTTTTTGGAGGGGGGGGGGGAAGGGGTCATGTTCCCAATATTGCCTGTGGTCGTTGCGAACAGGTTTTGTGTAAGAAGTATTTCTAATTACATTGCAGAATCAGAATCACCTTAACTGATGAGTTGATTCATGTCGAAAAAGAAAACTGTTTTACCTGAAAGATTCTTGACGGAATAATTTCTATAGATTCGCCCACCTTTTGGAAGAAAAATGAAAAGTGATAACGTAATTATCGTCATGGCACCCTATTCACGACGTCAAATTTCCATTCAAAGGACTAGAGCAAGTGGGCGTGTCGCGGCCGTGTTTCGCTATAAAAGGCATGAAGCTGTAGCTGGACACAGATCGCTTTAGCACAATATAAATATACGGTAGTCATCAAAGGATGTTGATTTATTATTCGGTTCTATCGCTAGTGCTAATTTCGACTATTCGAGCAAGCGTTGTTCCACAGATGTTAGAGGAAGAGTGCCCACTCGTGGAAAATGGACCAATTCTGGAGATAGCCGAAAAGATTTGCGAATTCTGTCACGAACTTACAAGTCATGAAAAGCCAAATATGAGAGCCGAATGCAGGTTAGTTATATGCTAATAATTTCATTTTCGTAAAAGATTCAAATTTTACTATTTTGGAAGTAATTAGTTCATAATGGGTAAATCAACTTGGATAAAACAGCTGAATGATGGCCATAAAAAATATAATTTCTAATAGATGGCACACCCGTTTTCTAATTCAAAATTTCTTTTTTCCCTATCCATGCTTTGAAAAATATTGTTTCTAGATCTATGCTTAACCATACGTAGCCTCTATAGTGTGCATACAATTAATCGCTAATAATAAATTATCATCTAAGTCCACTCTATGCTCCTACACTGCTTTCTCTTCCAAATGGGCATCTATGCTAGATTTTCCCTTTCTTTTCCTACTCCTCTTCTATCTCCCAGAAATCTTAGTGGATGAATAATCAAGTTGAGCTGATAGAGGGTCTAACTACTTTTTTACAAAACTCTTACTAAGTTTCGATGCAATCTCTTCCTTCTTTAGTATTTTGAAAAAATAACCAAAACCCTTGTGAATAGTCTCTCTTCTATCCCGGATATCATGATGCTATATTTTTCTTCACTTCAGTTGACCTTTGATGCTTACAAGGGATCAAAAGATCTTGGGGAGTTTCTCATTATCTTCTTGTTGGCTGCACCATAGATAGCTCATACGAGATGATCTATATCCCAAAACGGGGTAGTTAAGCCTTCCATATTCCTCGTCCACCCTGTCCACCCCCGCTTCTCCCCCCCCCCCCCCTGCTCCTCCGCTCATCCCCACCCTCCACACTGTACTTCTTGAAGCAGCTCACCCAGTCTGCACCCAAAGCTATTTGCTGCCCACAAAGTATGTCCATAAACGCGCTGGAAGTATGACTCAGTGTCTTTGCTTATGAAGAAGTCAGACAAGTGCTCTGGTTATGATTTCCTTCCGTGCATAGCGACATACAACACATGATAGATGGTTCCATGACAAAAATGGCTGTGTGGTCACGTTGATTTGATAATGGATAGTGTTGGGCTATGTGACAGCTACTTCCCAACATGAAATTATTTATGGCGCGCGAAAAACTCGTCATAGCGGTTGCAGCAGGGGAGGGGGGATGACTTTTTGACGAACAAGCAGAAAGAGTCCAGCACTCCATATGATTACGACCCCGAAACCTATTTTATTCCGGCTACCGGACCATTGCCGCATTGGGAACAATGACTGGATTCCAGCAATTCATATTTCTTGAAAACTTGTGGAGAAAACACTTTTTTGTCTGACTTCCAAAAAATTGAAATGTGGGAGATACATGCATTCTGCCATGCATTTTGACAAAGCTATTTTTGCAGCATTGCAATGATGTCATTTTGCATCCCTATATTTCTTGCAATCTTAAATTTCAAGGCTTCATGATGATATAGGGCTGCAATAACCCCTAAAAATTTCCGCTAAAGAAGCCTAGCATCCTTTTTTGTAATTCGAAACTTTTTTTTCTAAAGTCACTCACGACAGGCTAGCTGTTGAGCATGTTTGTAAAGTGTCTAGGGACCGTTGCTAGACAATTTGTGCATGTTTTCTTTTCTGGGTAGCATGACTAATTAGCAAGAAATTTATGTGCTAAAGAATCTTACATACACAATTTCCTGATTTTCATGCGATATCTGTACGTAGAGTACAAAATTGTGAATATCCCATAATTGGCTGTGGAAAAAAGCACTGAATCATTATGCCTGATTCAATCATAAATTCCATGTCAAGATTTAGCCATAAGTATGAACGCAAAAAAATCTGGTTTATTCTTGGCACCGTCTGATCTTTAAAAACGCCGTTGAATGACAATTAACTCTTTTTGCATGCAAAAAACACTCAATCATCAGAATCTTCAATTTCACTACAGAAAATATGCGCGAAAAAAATTCAATACTGCTTGGGCAGTCGCCGAATAAACCAAAATTTAATGATTAAGAATATACCGTACCGTTTCAAACGAGCTTTGATTTTTATGATTTATATCGCATTTGGGTTTTGTATTGTCCAACTTCCATTTTTCGCTAATTCTGATCTTTGGTAACGCCGTGACGATACGGTAAGGATACTGTAGCCAGCACAGGTATCCACATGAAAGCATAGGCGTTTGAATTATATCTGCATGACACAAAAACCCGGTCTTCCCATTCTTGTGAAGAGCGATTGCAATTTCTGTCAAAGGTCACACTCGTTAGACCCTATAGTATTTAGCATAACGTTTCCCAAAAGGGAAGTATCCGATTTATCTTATAAAATAAACCTTGAATGAGCGAAATCTCATGAGGATACAACCTGTTTGCGATCTTTCAATCTGTGAGCAACAGCTACCAAAAACAAGGTTATAATGATAGGATTATCACATAATCATACCTTGCAACTTTTGCGCTAGACATTTGTCTGTGACGACATGAAAAAAAGCCTTAGCCATGTCTACAATACTTCTCTAAGCACTGCTGAATAATTGAATATTCGTGAGGAATGGAGCCAGCAAGACCTAATTCCTCGAGTGCTTTTTTTCGATATCATTCAACTTGGTACTCTGCATTTTGATGCTGTCATATAATCCAAATGAGTGTGCTTCGATAAGTAATTAACTTGAAAATTATAAAGAAGTTTTATTCCTACTGTCGGCCCAGTAGTAGCGCTTGGAAAAAAGGAAAGATCACCAACCTAGCTGCCCAAGGGATAGCTCGTTAGGGAAAAAAACATCAAGGTTATGCAGCAGTATGTGGTCCATGGCATACGACGAAACGTTAGGGAGAAGAATGCTATCGAATTTTTGTGAAAATTTACCAGGAGCGCTCAAAATAAACTAGGTATCTAATTGGGATAGAAGTGGGCAAGCACAAAAAATTGTTATCGAGGAGAGAGGGGAATAGTGCGTGTATTTTCGTAAAGGGTATGTGACCGAGAAAATTTCTATGGAGCTAAGTTGAATTTTCAAAAAAAATTCAAAAAAAAAAATCATTCTGATAATTTTCAAGTATAGACAAGTCACTTACACATTTTTATAATTCATGTAAGTAACTTTCAAAAATTTCGAACCCATTCTCGGGTGGGGGGGGGGGGCTCGGTACGTCACTGGTGAACAGTGAGTGTAGCCCTGCTACTGCTTAGCAATAGATCTACCAAAAGTCGTCAAGGACAGGGTCCGGGTTGAGCTAGATACCTAGACTTCCTTTGGGTACTAAGGAAGGGCTCAACCAAATTATTGTCCCTTTACGGCTGCTCGCTGACATTTGCGGATGAGAAATTTGGCTCCAAACTTTCCTCCAGGCAGTACCCTTTCTAAACGGCATAACATCATCCTGATTAGGGCGTGGGCGCAAGTTTGGAGCTGATTGTTTACGAATAAATCATGTGAGCTAGCCCAATGGCTTAGTTTTAATTGAAGTTTGAAGTTGACCTTTCCGCAAATACACAGTTGATTGCCAAACATTCGAAAAATCGTGACAATGCGCAACCGCGCGCGACACGCACGCTCCGGCAACCACGTTTCCTTGGTTTTCATCTCTACTTCAATGGTTTTTCTGTTTACGTACGGTAGTATTCAGACACTGGAAGGAGGACTGAGCGTTGAGTTAATGCTTTATTGTATGAGGGTTTTATGCTCCTGTGGGCGCAACGACCGCAGTCAAATTCTTGTCACGATTTTTAGAATGACCTATACAGTTTCCGCCGTACGATCACAGCTTGTTTGGCCATTTGCTCTATTCTTATGTCGCAGTTTTTAATCAACCATTATTCAACCTTGCTTTCAAAGACATTTCTATTTTTCACTTTCAGAGCACACTGCTTCTCAACGGATGCGTTTCGAGCATGCGTGAACATTTTCGCTGCGCCAACACGACGTCAATCCACTCGATCCAGACATCGAATACGCCATATATGGAGTTAAAACAAACCACGTAAACAACCTGTACATAGTGCCAGTGTTGCATAAGCATATTTTAATATGAGATTAATTTTTTGTCCTAACACGGGTGTATCTAAACCGCACAACGTCAAGTTCTATTTTGCGCAAAACATTCCAAGCAAATCTGACACCTTAGTGATGTTTGTAACGAATACGTCATTAAAGCGATTACCATCGCTGAGGATCTCATTAAAGGACGATAGATCTGAGGCAAAAAGATGAAGGTGGAATAAAAAAGCACCAATAGAGATAATTGACGATGATTGTTGAGGGGATAGCAGCCGCAATGCAAACAAATATTTCCATTTTTTTGCCAACTAAAAAGGTGATACCTAGGAAATTCACAAACGGTTATTAAGCGAGCATGCTGTTGTTATCCTCGTTTTCAGTTGCTCTTATTAGTACTAATGAAGTCTGATTGGAGCAATCACTGATGCAGGATATGATCTGATATGAATGTGTTTCTAAGTGATCTCTCAAGACGTTTTTCATTATCAAAATTGCATATATTTTATGTTGGTGACGTGATATAAAATAAACAATTCTGCCTTCGAGAGCTCCCAGTCCACACAGACTCTACACATGACTAATGACACTGTCTGGGTTCTATACTGTCTACGGAGTAAAAAACGCAGCTCACAACAGCTCAATCACCCGTTCAGCGCATGTTATTCAGTCCCTTGATGCATTGTTTATTTCCAGCCGTCCAAATAATCAACCAGCGGAATCCTTAGCGATCTAGAACTCAAATAATTAACTCGATTAATAATGGCCAGAATATATGATGTAGGTCATATATCGCGACACAAGTAAATTGGACATGATGCTTCGAGAAAAAAAAATGAATCTTCGCGTATTCGCAACAACATCCTTTGGTTAACATTCGATAGAGCAAAGTTAGCTCTGCAAGACAGTATAAAAAGTCTCGCACCACTTGGATCCATGCGAAGTTTGAAACTACAAATAAAGAAAATTCATGCGCCCGGAAAATCCTAGAAAAATCGCAATTCCTCTCAAAAGAAAATTTTAACTAATCCATCTGGTACCTCCAAGCTTTACTTTTATGATTCAATTTGGAAAATCTAAAATTTTCGGAGATCGCAGTATTCGAGGAAAGGTCGCAAAGAAGAAAAATTTTGGTTTCTTTTTTCTCGTTTTGCATTTCTCAAATAATCTCTGCATACCCTTTGATTCGACTGGATTGACGGCTGGAGGGTGTGACCTCTGACCTAATTAAGGCTGAAGAATGATTAGAGAGCACTTTTGCGAGAGAGACGCAGACTGCGTCGCTTGCGCGAGCGGTCGTTTCCAGCCGCCAACCTCGTGGAAACAAAGTGATTGACTATAAGGAGGAGTTTATTGAATAGTCATTTCCGGTAGAAGCTATGATTTGCCAAAGACAATAGTGGAATAAAATTCATCTTGCATTCTAAATTCCAGTAAGTCACTTGTCGGAGCTATAGCTCCAAATGGATACCACTGAATGGATAGAGTCTTAATGATTATGATGAATTTTATTCCAATATAAAATTTCAGAGGAGTTATGAAACGAACTGAAACGCGAAACCTGTATTAATTTCGGGACAACCTAACGTCACCGCAAATTTTGAAACTCACTGTGCAATCTCATTTACGCTCTCAAATGAGAGAAGACATCGAAAGCGTGGCTGATCAAGGTTCGAAGAACTACTTGTCCGCGCTAACAGACCCGTACAGCAAAGGGTAGCAATCTGGAAGACAGAAGGTCAAAAAATAAAGCTCCAAACAATACAACTGTTCGCTTTTTCTTGAGAGAAAATTCTAATTTGCCTATACGCACGCCCTTGATACTCCTGCGTGCCTGTGTCCACTTCATACTGCATAAAAATTCAAAAAAAAAAGAGAGAATTTTTTATGGGTGGTTCAGTTTAAGCGTTTCACCTAAAGATCAAAGGTTAAGTATGGGTATAATGAATTCACCTTTCATAGCAAAAGATCTTTGCAATTTTGCAGCTACCATCTCTAGATAAACGCATTGAGAAATACAGTAAGGAATCATGGTTATATTAGGTCGTTCCGAAAGTAATGTCGCTTTTTTTCAAACGTATGCCACATCTCGTGGAACAAAGATGTGTAAGAGATTCTGGTAGCATTTGATGCAGCATTTCATTCTCTTCCTGATAGTTATGAAGCTGTTGCAACACAGTCAATGAGCTTCCAGAAAAGAGTCAAAATCTGCGACCTATGCTTTTTAAGATGGCCAAGTTTCACAATTTTTCCAAAATTTTATAACAAACCTCAGAAGGAGCCCAAGTAATGGATGGATGGAGCAAACCATACAGGAAACAGCACAACTTTTTTCTACTTTTCAGAGCTCGTCATAATTTTTGTATAGATTTTTTGATACAACCACCGAATTTTAGCAGGCTCGTCTCAGACACAAATGCATCAAACACTAGTAAATCTTCAGATTTTGAAACTTACAAAAATGGATTATGGTTTGACCACTAATTTCACAAAGCAAATGAGCGTTGGGGACGAGTGGCGTAGTGGTATGAGGCGCCGCTATGACCAGTTCGGACACAGGTTCGATCCCCGCCCCTGGGCCAACCAAGCCCTCTACCCTCCGGGGCCGGTAAATTGGTACCAGAGCAATCTGGGAGGATAAAAGCACTGACTTGAAACGGCTGGCCCCCGCAAGTCACTGTAATAGGCTCGTACGCATACAACTGCCTCTTCGACCATGAAGTTAGTGTGTGCGTTCGGCGCATGCCCTCAGAGGGTATTGAAGACGCCAATTCCTTTATCCTTTTTTTATCCTTAATGAGCGTTTACCGCGTCAAATTAGCAACTTTCGAAAAATCCGGGTACAGCCTGGGACGCCTTGGAAAACGTGTATTATGATGGTTTTATCCCGGAAAACTTGATGAATCGGAAACAAAGAACAGCTGGTAAAAAGAGGAGAGAAAGCTGCATCGAATGACACCCGAGTCGCTTGCCGGTTGTTGTTCTGTGAGGTTTGACCTGACTAAATATGGAATTTGATGGCATTCAGAAATTGATTGTAGAAACTGTGAGAAGCAGGCTAAGGAAAAGAAAAAATTACTCTGTGTTCTATAGTGCTTGCTTTCTACCTGCCACTTGTACTTTTTCGGAGATTGGGTACAAAAACTTAGATAGCCGAACTTGACCATGGCAAAAAGCATGAGTCGCAGATTTTGGTAATTTTTCGAGAGCTTATTGAACATTATGCAGTGAAATTGCAACCACTTGAAAGAGGATGAAATCTGCATCGAATACTTTCAAGATCTTTTAAAAATGTTAATTCCACGAATAGTGGCGTTCATTCGAAAAAAGCGACATTACCTTCGGAACGACCTAATATGTACAACTGGGTTCAACTTTAGATGGTAAGTTCGCGAAGTCGCACAATTGTTTAGTAGCACTAGTTACGGAGATGGCCAAGCTATTAAAGGCAGATTCGCGCTTGAAGTTTACCTCCTAAATGCTCAGATGGTCTGTCTTTACGTTGCGTGCAAATCTCAGTAGAAGAATTGCCCTTTGCCCTGTCCTTCGCTAGCTTTACTCATGATCCTCTGTTGTTGAAGGCAGACAAAATTGTACCAACCTGAGCATTGATATCAACATTCATGTCCACATCTTCCACTGGGTACAAGTTTGTAAGCGCCAAATAGATGCATTTAATCCGTTGTAAATCAACAGCTTTGGCTTCCGCTTCGCGCTGCTCAGCCGTAAGATTAGCTCGTCTCTCACGCGCTTCTGATCTTTTCTCTTTGCCGTGGAACTAACGAAGGGATATGCTTGATGAAAAATCGAAATACACTGTAGTTGCATACCTTTACAAAATATCGTCTATCAGTGATCGGTGGATTATGACTGGCGCAGAAGGAAGCAATAAGTAGATATCTGCAAGCAATGATGTGTCCGTGTACATCTAAAATCCACTCTACACAATCTTTCTGATCATTTCATCCCTTCTTTATCGCTTTGTCAGGACTTTGATTTTCAAATTTCATACAAATTTTTTTGGATCGAATGTAGGATTTGTGACGAGAATCCATCATTTTGAGATTATGACGCACAGTGCAGCCGCTTTGCGCGCACCGCTGTGGCGCTCCGCGACCATTTTCACCAATATAAGTATAGCAGCAGTCTATAGCTCCGTCTAATTGTGATAGCAGAGATAGCAGAAAAATTGATCCTTAGGCAGTGGCTAGGGAAAATGCAATTACGGGCTTCCCACCCCTCTTTGGCCTTCTGGATGGGCTGAGTCCAGGGCTGTGCAGTAATAGTCAAAAAAGACTTCATTGGCGTTTTCCGGTCTTGAAGATTGCTGGAGGAGATGGGCGAGAGATCCAACGGAGTCGAAATTGGCTGCCTGAGCCGATAGCCAATTGGCGCCAAAATGGGTGGAGTTATAGCATCCTGCAGCCAGTCACTGCTTTTGGCCGGAATCCGTCGCCCAGCTCCCTCAGCAACAAAGCCAAAAACGCCGAAGAAGCATTTTTTGACTTTCCAGGCATAGTCTAGGACTCAGCGGATCCATAAGACCATGTAGGTGCGAAAAGCTCGCGCTCGCAGTTTTTCGAGCCATTGCCTTCAACTAGAGCAGATAAGAAAATTTAGCTCTCATTGAAATAATATCACTCAGTATGAACTCACGCACTTAGAACACAAGGGAAGTATCATAGGCTCATCGCGCACGTCGTCATCCTGATAAAAGCAGTCGGTATCATTCTGAAACAGATATGAAACAGTAAAGCAAGCATGTCGATATGCCAAGGTTACTAAACAATATGATGCAAACACATAGCATAAAGAATAGAATGTATGTATGTAATATCCCCAAGAATTACAGTGGTTCTGAAAAAATCTGGATTGTCTGGCAGCACTCACCAAAGCCTCCATGACAGGAAGCAGCTTCATATTTTTGACCTCATTCACATCACCATGTCTTTCGTTGTACTTTACGCAAACCAGGCGAATCTAAATATACCGTATTTTCAAATTTAACAATACGACTTGCTTATTACAATTTCTAAAATGCGTTCCACATCTCGGCATTCAAAAAACACGGCTTTGACAATGAACTCGATCACTCTTCTGCTGATTCCATCCTCCTTCAAGTAATTTGAAAGTAGGTCAATGCATTCTTCTGAAAGCACTGAGTCCAATGCTATGTTCAAATTTCAATATTTCAAGAACTTCATAGTGATCCGCTTTTGGCAAGTATATATATATATATATATATATATATATATATATATATATATATATATATATAACCCGCTGATGAATACTATAAGTACCTTCTGTGGGGCTTTTGAACACAATGGTCACCGGAGAGGATATACTGCTAAGCAGATGAATATAATTCCAAGACAACTGGCTGCAAGTCACAAAGCGAACAAGAAGTTTGTGCATTGATTTCTGGCGTGTCAGTGGCATCTAAAACCAAACTTGGAATTCTAGTAAATAAACAAAATTAGCAGAGTTCCCACCATCTTCGGAAGAGACAAGAGACTCTTTACAGCAGTCGTGGGAAGTGTGGCAAGCATCTCAGCATGATTCAGTACCACTGTCAATTTTACTTTTTCCTTTCTGAAAAAGAGCGTAATCATCGAAAAGACTAAATGACGGCGACTTACGAGGAGAGAAGATGGCTTTCTAGAAGGCTTGCGAGCGCTTCGATTGTGTCAGCCTTCCCATGTCGTTTCAAATTTAACTCATGTAAGAGTTCTTCGATGAGAACTTTCAGAGATCCGTTTACAAGCAGGCAGTTCACGACGGCATATATGGAAGCCTGAAGATTCTTAATTTCAATCTTCACAACAAGACGACTGTACATGTGGTTTCAGTGGGCAGTTCTGCGGCACGCTGATTAAAATTAAAATTACAACCTTACAATAATTACGATCGTTTTTGCGAGATCGAAATGGTGACATATAATCTACGCAACTTGAAAGCCCGTTATGGGCGCTACTGGTACCATATTAATCAACCTCTCAAAACTCCTGTTATGAGCAAACTGAATTTTGCCCACCATAACTTCGATGCCCCACTGTGCGAAAGTAACATCATTTTTATAATAGCACGTCAAATAACCTCCCGGCAAAAAATACAGCGAAAGAAAGATTTGAAAAGAAATAGAGCCAAAAATGAAGTAACCTCGTCCTTCGCTTGCAGCTCCTCCAGCGTTTGTTCGATTGCGCCAATAACGCCAGCTTCTTCGACTCCATAACAATGTATGTGCGTTATACATGTCCACTGCGATAGCAGACTCCGCAGTTGATGGACAGATTTCGAGCGCATGGATTAATACTGGAACCGCCTCTGTAAGTTAAAAGATAAAAAAAACTATGAAAGGAGAATAGTAAAAATCGTTACTAGTCCAGGATCTGCTCCAAATCTCGAAAGTTTGACTTTCCAAGAACTTGTCACAAAAGTTATCAAATTATTCTTGTAGGATACAAGAGAAGTTTGAGATAGATTTAGATTAGAGTAAAAACTTGGCGATGTGCGATGAGAGCATTTGCAGACTGAAAAGGCAGAACAGAGAAAAACTGAATTGAAAAATTGAAAAACGCAATTTCGCGCAAAATTTTTCTTGCGGGCATACGCAATAATGCGTCCAATGCGAAACGTGATTTTGCACATCAAACCTCTGCCCTTATCACTGAAGCTGTTCTTTTCATCACACGACTAAGTGCACGGTCGTTTTTGTTTCTTTGACTTCGCTTCCGTATTTCGGTTGCGTCTAAACTTTTTGTGGGGGCAAAAAACTTGTGCCGTTCTGATTTGGCTTCATTTTTATCACTTCGGTTTGATTGCTTCCCTCTAATTTTTATTATCATCATGGTGCTCCAACAGAAGAAAGCAAAGATTGCTTCTGAGATAGCTGATCAGTAGCCACTTTTCCTTAGTCAGTAAATAAATTCTACTTCAAATAGCTTCCTCGAGCCATCTGCTTTATCATGTGGTTTGTTTGATTGTTTGCGTTGTATTTCTCTCCTTATCCTTCTTCTCCCTCAAAAAGTTCTGGTTTAGGCTCTAATGCTTCAGCGGACGCTGTGTTCCCGTTGTCTGCAACCTCTGCGCGCTTATTCGGCTTCACCTGTGGATGGAAAAAAGAGATTGAAGGACGGCCCAACGTTTGCGGACTTTGTCAGCTCAAGTAAACGATTATTATGTTTTGTTTTCTTAGGAAGCAACTGTTTTGGAGTTTATATTTAAATATTTCTTGTTTGCTTTACGATTTAAGATCACTTGCATCTAATCTTGTCTGTTTGCTTATATTATGTTCAGGCAGTATCGAGGAAGCTATCTCCAAATATGAAGGCAAGTTGAAACTTGAGAAAGGAGATCGGCGATTACGACTGCCAACATGGCTGAAGAAGGAACAAGTAGGTTTTTTCTCGCTTCCATTGCTCATACTGCACTTTTGTTTTGAAGGTACTTCCAAGTGAAAATGAAGGTGTTGCTCGTATGAAAAAGCAGTTGAAGGGACTCGGATTAGCCACAGTTTGTCAAGAAGCTAGGTTCGGCTTTTGTTTCTCTTTCGTTGCCATAATTCAGGTTCCTCTGTCATCGCCATAATTCAAGAATGATTTGCTTTCAGATGTCCGAACTTGGGTGAATGCTGGGGCGGATCGAAGGACACTCTGTCTACTGCGACAATATTACTTATGGGAGACACATGTACTCGTGGATGCAGGTAAACTTTGTTTTTCTTCCTTTACAAAATACCTTCTTCATCTGCAGATTCTGTTCCGTGAAAACCGCTAGGAAACCTCCTCCTCTTGATCCCAAAGAACCAGAAAACACAGCTGAAGCGGTCAAGTCGTGGAATGTTGACTATATAGTTTTAACTTCTGTTGATAGGTAGATTCTCTTTGAGCGGATTGTTACTTTCAATTGATATATATCGGTTAAGGGACGATATTGAAGATGGTGGTGCTTCTCATTTGCAGAGGACGGTGCAACTAATGAAGAAGGAAAGACCGGAGTTGTTGATCGAATGTCTACTTCCGGATTTTGCTGGTCGCAATGAAAGTATTGACATGATGGCATTGTAAGTCCCTCTTTTTTCAATGTTGTTGATGGTGAAAGAACAGGATAACCACCAGCAGTGCCTACTTTTTTCGTAATCTCCAAGCTCCCCACATTCCTTGATTAGAAAAGAAATCGCGGCGGGGTTTGTGCTGATTCTAAGTGATACCAGTGCTTCAGTTTTTAGAGTATTCTTTCAATTATTCTTCAGAAGTGGACTTGACGTATATGCGCACAACCTGGAAACAGTGGAGCGTCTTACACCATGGGTCCGCGATCCTCGGGCAAAGTATAAACAGTCGCTTGAAGGTTTTCCATTTTCATAGATTTTTAGTGTTACATTCCATTCCACATGACTAGTCTCCGATGAACAGGTTATAGGTTTACTGCGGGCTAAGACGACAAACCCAAAAGTTATAACGAAGACATCAATCATGCTTGGCTTGGGAGAAGAAGAACAAGAGGTAGTACATTCGCACTTCATGTACATTTTTTGACCCGCGTTTATGAATCGCATGGACGGACAGCATCTTCTTTTCGAATGCACAGCACAGCATCTTCTGAAAAATTTTCCCATTTATCTTAAATTAAAGTAACGATAGAGCCAAAAGAGGTCGTTTTGATGATTGGAAAAAACATGATTGATCACGCACCGTTGCCTTGTGTGTAGGTCACACACATGCCATGAACTTGTGGAAAGACGAATTCAACCATATGTTCTAGGTCATGCAGTGCCTTAAAGACCTGAGAGAGCACAAAGTTGATGTTGTAACTTTCGGTCAATATATGCAACCTACGAAGCGACACTTGCTTGTCAAAGAATGGATCACACCACAAAAGTGAGTTGAGCATGTTTTAAGGGGTGTTTTACATGCCGAAAGTGCCTCCAGCAACGAGATTTTCTTCAATTAGTATGCAAGTTGTCATGTAGTTTGTATTCTTCTTGATTTTCATTTAACGCAGACAGGATTTTGCCAGCTTACGTCACCTTTTGCTTAATCAGCTATCCCCAGAACTTCGAGGTCACTGTTACAGATTCGATAAGTGGGCAGAGGTTGCTCGCAAGATGGGCTTCCTTTATGTTGCTTCTGGACCACTTGTACGATCCTCATACAAAGCAGGAGAATTTTACTTGAAGAATGTTCTGCGAAAGAGACATGCGGATGACAAGATCTCACAGGCAGCCTAGAAATTTATGCATGTATGAATTTTATGAAAGCGTGGGCCCGCTTTATTGGCCTATAGATAGTTCTATATACGGTGATGCACTTGATGTTAGCGATCATTGCTTCTATTTATTATAGTTTGTCTTGTCGTACTCATAACACATTTTTTGTTATTGTTTGCCTCGTGCATGAGGTCCACGAGTTAAAAGCTGAGTGATTTATGAAACCATCCACAAAAATAAAATCATTCAACATTGGCACTTCACTGCATTGAGGACGAAACGTGGAGATAACACTTGGGTTCAACCGTAGATCACGCTCTGTCAAAAAATGTTCTCAAGAGGTGAAAATAGAGTACAAAAGACTTACAATGCCTCTTTGGCTTCCTCTTCGCCTAATGCATTTATCAATTTGCGGCACTTGATTGAGAGCTGTAAATTCTCAGAAACAAGGTTCTTAACATGCGAATTTCGTTCCAACAGCAATGCTTCTAATTGCTTCACCCTAAAAACGGCATAACTCAATCAAATCAGAACGAGTTGGGTTTGATTACCTGAGTACACTTGCATGTAACTGTTCTTTCAAATAAGTGTTCTCGCCTTTCAACTCCCGAAAAGATGCTCCCGTAATCATCTCCCTACCTTCCAGCACCATGTAAGGAGAAGTGATGTTTCTACAAAGTGCTCATCCACAGTATCCACACGGCTACACCAATAATATAAATATCCGAATGATATACAAACCCAGGAGCTTCATCATATTCCTCAGCTACAGTGACTTCTTCGTAGCCATCTACGTCTATATCTGGATCCATAATTATCTCGGATGCGCTGGAAGAGAGACAGTTCAGCCATAGTGATAATAGTATTTTGATAATGATAACTTTTCAACGAACTGATTTCTGTCAAAGATAGATAGCTTACAGCGATATAGAAAATGCGTAGGGATCGAGATTTAGCGGAAAGGCTCAGGGCGCGAGAAAAGAGAAGACTTCCTTGTTTTCGCGGCTCTCATTAGACTTCCTGTGTTCGCTGAAGAGCAAGACTTTGCGAGACGACTAAATTTCAACTCGTTACAGTACAAACGGTATGCGCGGTCGTGCTCTCGCGTTGTTTGAAGAAAACCCACTTTTACTTAGCAAAATGTAAAATCCTTCGAAATTCATGCCTTACAAAAAAATGTACACCCCGCTCCATCAACCATATATATAGCTGAACAACTGAACACACACAACACAACAACACAATAATGAGGCGAGAAGAAGGACATACTTGTCGGCGTCAACAACTATTGTGTCATTCGTTTTTGCACCACATTGACATGCAGACATCAATTTCTCTGCCGACACGCCTGTTGATTCTGCAACTAAAATGGTTTAACAAGGAGAAAGGCAGTGCAAAGGGGCGGGGCAGGCTATACTCTATGCCCTTTTTGATAGCTCTGGGACGTCAAAATACCTTGAACGCAAGAAAAGAACTCAGCAAAAGATATCAAATTGTATTTCTCACTTCCAAAAAACAATCTGAGTGGCAAAGTATGACCCACCACTGTAGATAGAATTCCCTGTTTTCATCATCCGAACCGACTTGCGTGGCAAGACGTCATCGGGTACTTCGGGGAAATAGACTCTGAATAAAGAAAAATTGTAAGATTCTGTTTCGTCCTTTCCCTAGACGGAGTTTTAGTTTCTAGACCCTCTCCGGGACTCCTCAGTAAGGAGAGAGGGTCTAATAACTAAAACTCCGTCAATTTTGAATAAACGTTATTGAAGGAAAACTGTAAAAGGTTCTCCTGACTGTCGTAGGATTACAAGCTAAAGTTCTTCAAGTTTCAAATTTGGGTATTCTACCATTTTTGGCTCAAATGGCTTCAACAGAACCTCGCTTCACAACTCGACAAGCAGCGTCGCCATTATGCACGGGTTTTTGAACATGAGAAGGATAACCAGGATCGCTTAAGTAGGAAAGATTGAGTATTCGTTTGACATAACGGTGAGGTATCTCCAAATATTCGCCCCCCCCCCCCTCCATTAACGAAACAACCATTCTGTTGCTTCACAATATCGATTAGAAAAAGTCTTTTTGACATTTCTAAAAGATTTCAAGCACACTGTCGGACTAAAGACATCCGGATTCAAGATATACCCAAAGTCAAAATGTCTAGCCCTGCCCTCCCCTGTTTTTTTTATGGCTAAATCTTTCAAACTATAGGGTGTAAGATTAGGTCGCATATATGCTAATAGGTGCCGAATAAGCATTGATAGACTCGAATTCAAAATCAATTACGTAAGCCGGGCACATTCACACGGTTTCAGTCACCATGCTAACTGGCAATTTGCCAAATGTCTTCAAATGCAACAGCGCAGATCAAAAATACGCACTCACGATAAGTTATAAAGCCGCATAAGTAGGCCGTAGGCGTTAGCAATTCAACATGTAAGGGTGGGTCGTAGGCTTTACTGTAGCCTGAGGCGTAATAGCGCCTGTTGAAACGTGTTATACAGAACACATAGCTAATAAGCTTTATGAGTCAGACGACGTGCACGTGTTAGGGCAGTGGTAGAATGCTAACGATAACAGGCGGAGCAAGATAACTTAATGTATCACAGCAGGTCACGCTTATGGCATGACCTTTACGGTACTTCGGTGAGAATAAAGATACGATTGTAAGGAAGTGCCGACAATGTCGTCACACTCCGGCCAGCGAGGGAAATGAATAGCGAAATGGAGCACAAATATAACGTCTAGATACATCAAAGTGCTTCCTTTGTCAGAATATTGCAATGGACGTTGTCGAGGTGGCGTTTGTCTGGATCTCGTAGAGGTCGTTGCTGCACTGCGACGCGATTGAAGATGAGACGCCGGCGAGTTGAGGGACTGTCATGAAGTGGAGAGGAAGACGAGTGTAAACTAGAATGGTGTATACTGCGTTTCTGTAGATTAGCATATACTTGTGAATACGTATGGAGAGGTTCGCGACTACGCTTCTTGTCGTGCTTCATCTTGCGTCGAAGTTGCAAACTCTGGGAATGTCGCTTTTCATTGACATCAGTGCCTGTGTTTGCCTGTAGCATTCCTGATGTAATGACCTGTGCTAAGGTCATCCTCCAGTCCGCGGTAGCTTGTAAATTGCCATCACTGTTTTCAGCCTCGACCTTGTAGCTTTTGGCGTCTTTTTTACTGTCGCTTCCACTATTGACATCTTGCATCGCATCACCAATATATTCCTCTTCTGGAATACCGCTGATATGGTTCACCTCTGACGGTGAATCATTGTTTTGATCATCAAGCGGAGTGTCATCGCTCTGGCTTCGTGAGGCAAACGATCTTCTGCAAGTTAACCTATTTAGCTCCATCTCGCATAATGTTATACGGGCTTGCAGAAGATGAACAAACATGCGAGCGTCAGTAATGGTTTTGAAAAAGCTTATCTGTTCTTCGAGTACGTTCCATTCCTCCGCCATTACCTTCTTCGCGGCTTCGGATCCAACTTCCTCAATCCTTTCCATCAATATCTCGTAGTCCATCTGTAGCAATTCGATGCTCTCTTTGACTTCCTCTTTGCATTTTGTAAGCATATCCAGATGTGAACTGCATAATTCTTGGCGCCCTTGATCGTCTGGAATGTTTTTGTTCTCACCGTGGCACGCGTACTTTTGCAGTAGTTCCGCGAGTTCCTTGGTGGACGTTGTAAATATATCTTTCAGGAAAGGCAAAATCCTCATCGCTGTTGTAGTTGTGCTGCTTTTTCGAGCAAGCACGTATCGGTCTTATTTGGCCGATGCACCAAATGTAAGGGTGGGTCTAGGCTTTACTGTAGCCTGAGGCGTAATAGCGCCTGTTGAAATGTGTTATACAGAACACATAGCTAATAAGCTTTATGAGTCAGACGACGTGCACGTGTTAGGGCAGTGGTAGAATGCTAACGATAACAGGCGGAGCAAGATAACTTAATGGTATCATAGCAGATCATGCTTATGGCATGACCTTTACGGTACTTCGGTGAGAATAAAGATACGATTGTAAGGAAGTGCCGACAATGTCGGCACACAACAGGAAGTACTGTCTGTGTGGGTCTCACCTTTTTCTGGGAATCCGTTTCTGCCCAACAGCTGCTTTCTTGAAGCACGCTATATCTGCAGCCAAACGCGAAGACCTACAATCTTGAAAATAAATAAACGATAGCGCTTCGATCGATCAACTTCTAACCCTGGCTCTTGCTCCTCATTTTGCTCTGATGTATCGGATGCACTGGTAGGCTTTATTATCCGACTAACAGCCAGTGCAACTGATGATGGAATTTCTGACAAAAACTCGACCAATTATGCGTGGATCTTACATGAGTACACAATCTAGAAGAATGAAGATGTACAAAACTCACTTGGCGCTACTACACGATAACTTCCCGGACCAACTTTAATCGCACTCGCTATCCGAGCGTCATGTAGCGATGGTTGTTGTGAAGAACGCCAGGACTGAAGTAACACTATTTAAACTAGGTAAAAGAAAGAAAAAAAGCAAGTTTGAAAATAGCGCATGCGACTGAACACCAAAAAACCTTCTGAAAACAGCAAAAAACCTACTGAAAGCGCTGATCCTTGCAACGAAATGTGTCCATTAGCCTGAAGAGCATATCGCTTAGCCTTAGACATGGAAGAACCCCTCTAAAAAATAGCAATTATCAAAGGAAGCTATATTTAGCCATGGAGCGCGGCAGCCATTCCACGTTGCCTTTGGTAGGTGCCAGAGTAAGCGAATATTTTGTTCAAGTTGGGGTCCTGCGGAGAATTGACGTCTCTCACCATACTGGCATCAATCCAAGTGACGTCAATTCTCCGCAGGACCCCAACTTGAACAAATATTCGCTTACTCTGGCACCTACCTTTATGGTACAGGAGATTCGAGAACGCACCTGACCATTCACTAACACTTATATATGTGTCAATTTTTCTTAGAATAAACGAGGATTGTTGCAGAGCATGAGTCATATACGACTAGGGGACCCGTCATACTTCGCCGAAAAAAGCCCAAAAGCGCCCAAAAAGGCCCAAAAGCGCCCGAAAAAGCCCAAAAAAGCCCGAAAGCGCCAGAAAGAGCCGGAATGTAGAAACGGACTTTTGGTAGAAGTCTGACATTATCTAATCATGCGGACGACAGAAAATGACCAAAAGGCTCGATTGCGACGTCAACACACATGCCTTAGCGCTAAAACGTGCGAGAAGTATTCCGGATCTTTCTGGCGCTTTTGGGCTTTTTGGGCTTTTTCGGGCATTTTTTTGGCTTTTTCGGGCTTTTTCGGGCTTCTTTGGGCTTTTTTCGGCGAAGTATGACGGGTCCCTAACAGTTGTGTGTTTCTGGTTCGCAAAATACTTGAAGACAGTGTCTGGGCAAGGACTCAGTTTCTAGAAAAGTCACTCACCTGGAGTTATCTGCAACGCTAATCCGAAAGTCCGCCTTGAAAAGACGAAAACGGCAAGAAGGTGGGTTCCCCAGAGCAATCCAGAATCAAAGTCGCCAAGGCTGAGACGCAAAGTCAGTGCGGGACCCTACACTTTGACTGCGGCAGAGCAGGTGTTATTCAAACAGGGAGGGCCTCCCCCAGGGCATAGATTTCCAACCCTGGACCGTACTTCGTGCTTCTGGTCAAGCGTTATGACTTCGCATTCGCGCGATGACGTGGGGCCCACTTTCGCAACTGAAATCACAAAACCTTCACCTTGTTTGGACACTGCCTGTAAAGACCTTACATAAGCGGCGTCCATCTATAGACTGTGCAAAACATTTTGTAAATTAGACTAACAATGATCGTTGCTCTCGGATTAAACTTAAGAAAATTAGCAGGCCTGGGCTTTGAAGGCGTACCGTCTAATCAGCATTACATTGAGTGGAGTTGGGGCAGCGCTGCTTTTCACACATCCCCCCCCCCTAATCTGTGTAGGGTAGGTCATTGATTTATCATGTTTGCGCGACTGCACGATTTATTGCTGGGAGTTGGAGATACCAGTTGTCGCCAATGTTGACCAGGTGCTCCGATGCCAGCACGTGCTCCAACGCTAATCTTACGTCAAATAACTTCTTAAAATCGCATTTTAGAAATGAAGTTTCTGTTTTGCTATATGCGTGCATGCCGTATGAATATTATATGACTATTGGTAATAAGTTTCAGTTTAGAGAAACAATCGTTGTAACATGCGGATATTGTTGTTAGTGTTATTGTCTTTTGGTGTATCTTTTGCCGAAATCGAGGAGTACTCATTATCGCGAGAAGAATGTCGAGACTCAGGTTTCATTCCTGAAGAATTGAAAGTAAGGTTTACTTTTTGTTTTTTCATTTTCTAGCAATTTTTTACCTCATAACGTCTTGACATAGGGTACATGAACGATCTCTCTTTTCAGTGCTCTTCTTGCTCACAACTCACTAAGTTTAACTTGGAGATTTTGCTTTCTGATTGTAATGCTTGCTGTACGAAGGATGAAGAAGACAAACACGATGTAAGCATACTTGCATACTTTTCCAGCGGATGCTGAACCTTCCTTTTTTATGGTCGTTTGAAAGATCAAAATTTCTTTAGAAGTACCCTATGGCTGATATAGAAATATGTGAATGCAATCTCGGTCGCTTTCCACAAGTACAAGGTACACCTTTTTCAAATTTTGAATTGTAATTTATTTGCGTTTGTAAATCTATCTGATTTTTGCCTGGCATCCTGGTCGTTTTTTCTTGAAAATCAGGTAATGATTTAGAAGTACTTCTTACCATCATCTAGATGATTTTGTGCGTATTTATCTGTTGTCACCCTTTTGAAGGCATTTATATGCAGTTTAACTCCTTCAGAATCATCCTTGGGAAATTTGTTGTGCTAGATTGTGCTTCGAAATTCCTGAAGATGACAGAAAACAGACAGCTGTTCTTTCATAAAATGCAACAGAAAGTTTTGTTGAAGAAATCGCTGATTGAATAACAACTGTCTGGGACGGTCCATCCACTTTGGGCACAGTTGTGTTATAGGCTTTGTTAGCGTTTGCAAGGCTCGGCACAAGATTTTGCCTTTCTGGAAGCGGTTTCTTTGTTTGTAGAAATTTGTCAGTCAGTTTCGTTGTAGACGTGGTTGCTACTATTCTCTGCCTTTTTTCTGGTCTGATGAAATTGTATGATCAAGCATGCAGCACAGCTAGAGTAGTCTAAAGTTAGACACTTTGGGCAGCGCAAAGCATGTGCAATCCTGCAAAATTTATGTCAGAAGAAGCTCATCGTTTGCAAACCATAATAGACATTGGGAGGTAGCGCAAGCAAATAATGTGCTGCATTCGCTATAGTTCAGTTTGGTAGCTATATCTATCGAAGCGCTTTCTATGTCCTAGAAAATCAAAGAGATGTTGGAGGTTGAGTTGTTAACCTGCAAGAAGTCCATTTCAAAAAAATTTCAGCGTCATTTGTGTATAATTTGCTCCTGCAAGGTGGGTTTGGCATGAATGAGAGGTAAGATAGGGGGAGAGAGGGAGGAGATAAAGTATCTTGCGAAGGACTCGCGTATTCCGCATGTCCAGTAGCGTCGAAAACATAGGGATTTCCGAAGCAGCAAGTAGAGCCGTTGCCTTGCAGGCTGAACTTTAAATATCATGTCGCTTTTATCAGAGATTTGTACTTAATGTTATTGTTTATTCACTTACTTCCAGCCTTTGTTCGAGAGGACATGGCATCGTACTGGGCAGGAAAGGTACGAATACGTCATGTGAGGGGCGTTTTGCCTACCATAAAGCTCAAGGTTTGCTTTTTCCTAGATGTTTCCTTTATTCTTTACATTCGTGGCTCTAATTAGTAACTGCTTGTTTTCTTTACTATCTGTAGGATCTGTTTCAGGAACATGCTTTTTTGTCAGACTGTACTTAATTCGTTTACTTGTTTATTACAGGACAAATCAGGCATTACTAGGCAAGTAATGAATATCGAGAAGTGGGATACCGATACTATAAAAGATTTTTTAAGTCAATGGATAGAGTGACCATATTGCAGATTAGAGTTTTCTCATTTTTTGCTTGCTTTTATCGCCTTTATTGGAGATGTAATTATGCGTAGGGAAAGGGACTTATTAATAGTGCAGTTTAGTAGATTTCACGGTTATTATAGTGGTTGCACCAAAGCAATTTTTCCAGTACGTTTCACAGTGAGAAAAAGGTTGCTATGCTTGTAGGCCGGTAATAGTTGCGTGTAAAAATTGGCCATTCCTAATCCCACTCTCGCCAATCTAACAAGCAAATATTGTCTTCGACGCAAGAACTCAATATTAGCCGTAAAATCTACAAACAGATTATATATCAGGTCATTTTGTTGATTTCTTTTGATCTTATCTAATGTCTTACTGTTGTGTTTGTTTTCATTTTTTTTTTCAGCCCCTAGAGTATGAATTCATGTTTTCCTGAGGTTTATGGGTTTTCGTGATCGCGTACTTGTCGAACTTTAAATTAATAATTTTCTTTGTTGATTGTGGTTTTGTATGTGTGATAAAAAGTTCTGTTCTTTAAGATGTGTTGCTGCGGAATCGTGCTGGAGAACGGCCCTTCTCAGCCAACAGTTCATCAGGTTCTCGTTTTCCAGTCTTCGCTATAGCGGCGCGCCTCTGATTGGTTGACGCGTCGCCTACGATTGGCTATGCTTTGAACAGGGATAAGCAAAGGCGGAGAAAACTGATTTGTGTGACATTTATCTTGTCCTTGATAGTACGCTGCACGGATACTTTAAACGCTTCAACCATGCAGATTCTTCGTTCATTGTAGAGGGAACTCACCCATTTTTCCATCGATGCCGCAGACGGGCTCGCGCGCGAACGGTTCAAACAAGCCTACACTCTATACTTCGGACCGAATCGAATGATTATTTTATTCGAATAAATCATTCAAATGCGAATAATTCAAGAATTCGAATTTTTTGAAAATCTCAGATTTCGGACCTAATATATAAAGAACTAGCGACCCTACGGGTCGCTAGCAAGTGGGTCGGGGCAGATACAATATAAGGGCTTAGTTGTGACTATAAATACTTCTTAAGTTTCCTATTCTTTTCCTGAGAACATTTTTGCGAAAAGCATTCTACAAAAGGAGAACTGCTCGAAGAAGCGATAATCTCTACAAATCATTCAGCATTTCTCGAAATTCCTGCTACAACGATGCATGGAGAATATCATTTTCCTCTCGTTTACCACGCTCTTTCTGCAAATTTCCCCCCCCCCTCTCAGAGACATTCAGATACCCCCCCCCCCACTATTCTACCCTCTCAAAGAGAATTTGCTCTTCCAGTTCTTCTCAACAAGTTCCATAGATGATCGTTGAGTAAGTGGCAGAACACCTATAGTTTTGGAAGTAGAAATACACCCATAACAACTATGCGCACTACGAAAAACACTTTTCTCTCAGAATCAATTCCGACAGCAACGAAATCAATCGTGTAAGAACTTTTTCAGAGAATCCTTCAATTTTTTCGCCTAAGGAATATGAAGTTTTACTACAAAAGGAGATCCCTCCCCGAAAAGCACCACCTAAAGACCGTCAATCAACATACAAAAAATTTGTTTCCCTGTCCGATCAAATTGCCCTACGTGCCGCTTACAAACCAATATTATCTATCTGAAAGACAGTTCATGCCCTACGTGCCGCTTGAAGACCGTTGAAAAATTATAAGAACTGCCTCAAACGTACAAAAATCTAATTCTCTGTCCGATCGAGTTGCCGTACGTGCCGCTTACAGACCGATAGTAACTATTCAAAAAGGAAATTTTTGCCCTATGTGCCGCTTGAAGACCGTATATGTAAGAAAAACCAACTACGACTCAAACAAAAAGAAAACGACGAATTCAAGTATTTACAGCCTATTCTCAAATTGCCGTACATGTCACTTTAGGACTTTCAGTTCTGAGAACTGCCCCATACGCACAAAAATCTGTTTCCCTGCCCGATCGAATTGCCCTACGTGCCGCTTACAGACCGATAGTAACTATTCAAAAAGGAAATTTGTGCCCTATGTGCCGCTTGAAGACCGTTTAAAAATTATAAGAACTGCCCCAAACGTACAAAAATCTATTTCCCTGTCCGATCGAGTTGCCCTACGCGCCGCCTACAGACCAATAGTAACTATCCAAAAAGGAAATTTATGCCCTATGTGCCGCTTGAAGAACGTATATATAAGAAAAACGAACCTTACGACTCTACAGAAGAAAATCAACGAAATCAAGTATTTACAGCGTATTCTTAAATTGCCGTACATGTCACTTTAGGACTTTCAATTCTGATAACTGCCCCAAACGCACAAAAATCTGTTTCCCTGCCCGATCGAATTGCCCTACGTGCCGCTTACACACCGATACCTAGTTGAAAGCACCAGCGGGACCCAGTTACACAAGCAAAGCAAGGTTGTTGTTAGATAAACGCTTTCAAAAGTACCAGCGAGGCCAAGTTACTCACGCACTCTCTTGTCTACTCGCGGAAGCAAGATAATCTTAAAGTGACTGTTCTTAGTCAGAGCATTTTTACCAAGAGTTGAGAACACAGATGAATTTAGCTCAAGTCACGATGTTACGCAATTTGGCATCATTTCAAAAGCAACTAATAGGAGTACAACATATTTGAAAGACACATTCTGTGATAACAAGCTCGAAAAAAAGCAGATACAAAAAACAGACACGGACACTGGCGACCCATTCTCAAAATCACTGCGACATTCATGATTGCCTTTCGAAATACGTGTGACCCTTTTACGAAAATATGCTTGGTCACTCGTTTTGAAATTTGGCAGCGTTCCAAAACGCATGCCACTCGGCAGCAATCCAAAGTCAAAGATCAGTATATTTCATCATAATTTCTCCGTCTGCTGCCTCCTCATTTGCCGTGTTCCACGGATCAGGGGTAACCAAGTGGTAAACAACGATTCCAAAATATATTACGCAGTGATGGTTAGCTCAATTCAAAAATTTTCCAATAGCGGGAACGCGGCGGGTCCCAAAGCGAACGCTCTTCCACGTTCACTAGTAATATTCGAAATCCTTCATTTTCGAATATTACACGAAAGTCGAATATTCGAAAAATTCAACTTTTGAATATTATTCTATGTCCATATTCGAAAATTCGATGAGCATCGAATTTCCGAAAATTCGATATTCATAATATGTATGGAGTGTCCCAAAAGTATCTACGTACTGTTTGATCGCAACACCTATCCTAAGAAGACTTCTGCCAACTTTTTGACATCCTGTAGGTAGTGGTACCGAAGCCCCCCCCCCCGAGAATGGGTCGCGAAATTTTTGGAAGTTACCTATATGAGTTATAAAAATTTGCGAGTGTCTTGTTTATACTTGTAATTCACTAAAATAATTTTTAAAATACTTTAAAAATTCATTTTAGCTTTATAAAAAAAATTTTTGGGGGGATTCCCCTTTTTCTGAATTTCGAGGTTATGGGCCCGCGAAAATTCTAGGAAGCGTACGAAGAGGTTTTTCGGAGTGCGTGGCTGACGCCACGCACCTTCACAGAAAAATTTTTTTGTCGCGCCCCCCTTCCCTCCCCCTCCCCCCCCCCCCCCCCCCGGCGGCAATCCTGGGTACGCCACTGCCTGTAGCGCTTCAACTCATATATACAATAAACGTGGATCACCCATGATCCTTATTACTGGGGATCACGGTAGGAGCCTACAGCATTTAGAGTGCGAAATAAGTCGTTTGAAAGAATCTCTTGCAAACACCCTAAATATTCGTGTAGCAGATTTTTACGTTATGCTTATTCTACTACGCAACTTTTTTACAAGTTTTCTCAAGCCCTTCAAATCCAAATCATGTATTTGAGAAGCACTGAAAAATATTCGTCACGGTGTACCTGGCATAACTTGCGAAAAAATGCATTACGATTGAATGCCAATCTTATATTCAACTAGCTAGCTTACCCGGCCTCTGCCCGGCCCTGTTAAAACAATATGATAAAGCTTTCATCCCTATCCCTGTACAACTTCTCCCTGTGCCTAAATGCCAATTCACTACAATTGTTTTAATAATCAGCATGCTCGATTACCCCCTGTGCCAACTCCCATCCCGTAGCTCAAACTTTGCAAAAAATCGATAAAATCGATAAAAGTATTGGATAATTCTAAAAACTAATATCGTATTCGTAATCAGCATGCTCGATTACCCCCCTGTGCCAAATCCCAGCCCGTAAACTCTGCAAAAAATCGATAAAAATCGTTAAAATCGATATTGATCGATGACGAAAGGTAGCCTACGAGAACCCGTCCGGCCTCGAAGTGTATGTGTGCCAAGTTTGGTCCGGATATCGGTTTAGAAATGGAATTTTCTATTCGGAACATACGTACATACAGGCATAACACTTTTTGACCTTTCAAGCGCAGTACCGGACTCAGCGGTCCAGAAGTCCATGTAGTCGTGAAAAGCCAGCAGTCGCAATTTTCCCGAGCCACTGCTTTAACATCCCCGCTGGGGAGGGATCCCAGCTTGGAAGAAAGCTTCATATCCTGAAGCTCCAGATACCTGGATTTCGCGCTGTCCACCTATCAGTATGTAATCCCACTATACCCCACTATGAACGTATTGAACAGAAGCAAGAAGCTACACAAGCCGCATTTTCCAGCTTTTTGTATGATCCCTTGGTGATCCCCGGGGGACGACCGTCTACTCTTTGAAATCATTTTTCTTTCTTCAAAGTTAACGAGAACATTCCAAAGTTGTATTGCTTGTCTAGTCCAACAGTGCTAAGCATCTTGCGGATAAGAACCAATGATGTTTTGGAGTCATGAAATTTTCGATGAACACAGGCGGCTTGTACAACTTCTTGCCCCTGTTCAATATGTTCATGGTGAAGGATAGTAGGAATACTTACGGACAGGTAGACAAAGTGAAATCCAGACATCTGGAGCTTCAGCACATAAAGCTATTCTTTTAAGCTGCGATCTCCTTCCGGGCGGGATGTTAATGCGTGCGGCCCTAAGCTTTATCTTTCAATGGCTCTTGAAAAAAAGTGAAGTGCCCATATTGCTCAAAAACAACCAAATGCGTAGATAATAAATTCATCGATCTACTTTAAACCATTGCTTTAATCAACATCAAGAAAACCTTTCTGGAGACATACGCTAGCACTGCACTCTAGGCGACACTTGCGATGAAAGTCATGGGCATGCACACCTTATCCGGTGTAGGCACGGCACGCACTCGGGCATAAAATAGTTTAGGTGGATGTTAACCTTACAATAAGTTTACGCCTAATTTTTGGTACGGAAGGCGAATCTTGACACCTTCTATAGTCTATGGAGCAGCGTAGTAAAAAGCTGCCAACGGCGGACGGGCTGCTAGTGCAGGACGCGGCTGTCGGCGTGGTATGAAAGCACCCTTAGGGCTCCTTCATACTACGTCGCAGGATGCAGCAGCCTGCCGCAGCACGCCGCGTCCTACGGCGTGCGCCCATGCAGTCACAGCGAAATCATACGCTCATGGCAGCACAGCTTCGCCGGTTATAGATATCTATCTTTGCGGCATGTTCG